TCTGCATCAGGGTTGCCGGCATGATGGGTGATACGCCAATGCCTAGTAAGCAGGTCACGCCGTGTAAAAGCTGCTCCGCACCGACACGAGTATGGCTTTTCTCTAGTATCTATGGTGACATCAGTTATTACGACGCCGTCATCGTGGAGTCGCTTATTTGGAGGCACGAACGTGTACGGGTATGACGGATCAAATGCTCTGCTCGCTTGAAGCTCCTTGAGCAGTGACTACAAACATGAGCGAGGCCGTGCATGTGGTGAGAATTGTTGGAGATGGAATTGGAGTGAGGTGGGTCATTGTCTTCACTTCTAGGTTTTGCCCTCGGCCAATTGTGTCTGAGGGGTAGATAGCGCCGTGCCTAGCGCGCCATCTTCGGAGTAGCCGTTCCGTTTACTCCAAGATAGCGGAACTCAACGGGAAGACCTGCCAATACATCCCCGGCAGGGCTTTATGTCGGTGGTAAATCTTTGCGGAGTATGGACATCGCTGCAGCAAGTCAAACAACCAGCGCCTATCTTGATTGATTGATTGCGACGACGCTCGTTTCTGACCGCAACGAAGAAGAGTCAGCCCCTTTGGCTCAGGTCGACGCATCTTAGCAGAATGGCATCGCTTGCAAGATTACTCCCAGGTGTAGCAGTCATCACAGGCGCTGGGGGGACTGGTAAGCAGTTACGCATTGATACGCCGTTCTTCCTGCATACTTATGGTAAACAGGCATTGGGGCGGCCGTCGCCAAAGGTTTCGCCCGATCAGGCTGTTCGCGGATCGCAATTACCGACTTGAACCCGAAAACCCTTGACCAGACCAAAGACGCCATCCTAAGCATCAACCCATCTGCTCAAGTCTTCCACAGAGCTGGAGATGTCGCTGACGAAAGTTTCGTTGACGACTTCAACGACGAGGTGTTTACCAAATTCAAAAGATTAGATTATGGTGTCAACTGCGCGGGTGTACTTGGGGGCGATGTCATCAAAGCAGTGGACATGACCACTGAGCACTTCGACCGACTAAACGCTATCAACTACAAGGGGTCGTGGCTTAGTTGTCGCGCACAGTTGAGAAACATGCTGAAACAGAAGCCTTTGGATCAGCATCCCAGGCAAAGGGGTTCAATTGTCAATATTGCGAGTCAGCTCGGCATCGTGGCAAGGCCGGGTGCTGGTAAGTCATTCATCTTGTGACATGTTGAACCCTAGATTAACGAGAACTCTACAGCTGCATACTGCGCCTCAAAGGCTGCTATAATCAATATGACACGTGCGAATGCCATTGATTATAGCGACGATGCTATTCGTGTGAACTGCGTTTGCCCTGGCGTCATTGAAACGCCAATGACTACCACATCGCCAGCTATGGTGGAGGCGTTGAAGCCTGCCATTGAGATAGCACCTATGAAGAGGATGGGTACACCGGACGAAGTCGCTGACGCAGTACTATTCTTGTGTTCAGAACAGTCATCCTTCATTCAAGGGCATGCGCTTGTTGTGGATGGCGGCTACACAATCAATTGATCAATACAATTTACGGTGATAAGGGGATATATTGCATCTAAATATCGAAAGTCTAATAAAAGTATCTTCATAGCTTCGTGGCAAGCCTTGACTCTTGGTCTTTTGGAATGCCAATCTTTTTCCAGTCGTTTGCCGACTCCCACGCGAAAGCCGCGTTGAGTATCTTCTGCTCCTGCCACAAGCCACCAACTAGCTGCATCCCAACCGGTAATTTAACTTCAGGATCGACACTCGAAGGGGCGAACCCAACGGGAAGCGACATGGCCGGGTGACCTGTCACATCAAAGATAGCGGTATTGATGGTGATGCCCATACTTGGCTTCAGTGCATCCATTGGTGCGTCCTCCCCTCGCTTCCAATCTATGTTTGGTGGAGCTACAAAAGGTGTCGTTGGCATGACAATAAGATCGTAGTCTTGGAAAAGCTTTTCATAAGAGTCTCGGAGTTGTTGGGCGAGGTTCATAGTCTTCGCATAAAGGCCTGGGTAGTTTTGCATAAGAGAGAGGCCGTTGATCATGGTATTTTTCGTGGAGGGGAAGAGTTTCTGGAAAGTTTCGTTCGTCCATGGCTGTCTTGCTGCCTCGTAGGCTGTTGAGAAGAGACCTCTTCGACCGTGCGCATAGCCTAACATGTTGAGAGTACCTGCGATCCGCTGTTGGATGGTCCAAATAGCTGGTCCTTCTAGATGAAGAGGTAGCGAAACCTCTTCAACGGTAGCACCGAGACGTTCGAAAGATTGAATGGCCTTCTTCACAGTCGACCTGACATCTTGGTTGACGAGTCGATGCTCAAACCCTTCTTTTAGAATGCCAATCTTCAATCCTGCGACCGAATTTTGAAGACTCTTTGCGTACTGCGTAGAACCGTGTGTCGGCGCACCAAGTGTACGATCATCGTAGTCGTCTTTTCCACTGATTGCGTCAAGGCATAATGCTACGTCGCTTACTGATCTTGCTATGGGCCCGGCATGATCATTGATAGCGTCGCCGCTAGATATCCCAGTGTAAGGGACTAGGCCATGCGTTGGCTTCAGTCCGACACCTATGTTTCCTCAAGTCAGTCTTTGATAACCTGGCACTGTTGTGCACAGTATCTATAGTACACTTACAGCCACAGAAAGATGACGGGACGCGGATACTTCCGCCTTGATCGGCACCAATTGCGATGTCTACAAGACCGCCGCCGACTACAGCGGAACCGCCAGATGTACTACCACCAGCAGAGTAACCTCTTGCATATGGGTTGTGAACGGTACCTTGTGCCGAAGTAAAGGACGAGGTAGAGTTGCAGAAGTTCTCGCATACAGTCGTTCCCACGACGTCAGCACCGGCATCTAGTGCTCGTCTAACTACGGTGGCGTCGTCATCAGGTGTCCACGCAGGGATGGCATCAGTTCCAAAGAACTGTGGCACTCCAGCCACTGCGACATTATCTTTGAGACATAGTGTCTTTCCTCTCAATAAGCTTCCTTGTGGATTGCCACTTATGAGAAACTTGTGGGCCCAAGCATTACCAAAATCCTGCTCATCTGCGGATGGTCGATGTATTTGTTCTCGTGGATACTTCTCAGTATCTGTCCGTGCCGTATAGTCTGGTAATTGTAGTATGTGTTCCGCAACATCATGAACAGCAGCTAACAGCTGATGGTAGTCCTGGGATTCCTTTGCTGGTATGCCGTCGGTAACACCGATGCTTTCCAGAACGGCTTCTGCGTCGCCCACCGCCACAAGATCCTCACTTCACTGGTATCAGCATACGTTCTCATAGAAACGGGACCATTGTTGCCACTGACCTTATAGGAGAGTCGAAAAAGACAGACATGATGGTGAAAGCCTGGTACTTGACACGAAGTTGTGCGACAGCTGAGAAAATACAAGCAGATGTTGAGGCTATATCTTGCTATGAAACAGTATACATATTGATGTAGAAGAGATACTTTTACGTACTATGTAGCCAATCGCGGGTAGGTGGGTCGGTGGTTCCACAAATCATGCTAACGCAACAAGCTCTCCAAATGACCCCAACTCGTGGCGAGATCAGCTATTCCGCGGAAAAACTTGGCATCCATAATTTCCGCCCGCATGAAATCTTACTCTTTGATATTGACGACCAGTCGGCCTTTCATCGATGCATGCAGATACCTGTCGACGAGACTGGGGATTTCCGAGAAGCCTAGAACGGTCAAATGCGAAGAGATTCCGTGCTTGGCCACCACTTTCAGCATCGACTCGACTTCCTCAGCACTAGCAACATAGCTGCCCTTGATAGTAAGCTCATGAAACACCATGGCTTCCGGGTCGAACTGCCACTTGTCTTTTGGTAGTCCCAGCGGGACCATAACACCACCATTGCCCAGTTGTTGGAGGCACCAGGCGTTCGCTTGTATCGAATCGGTACACACTACGATGCCTGCGAGACCTTCGCCGGAAGTAAACTCTGATATCTTCTGTTCGGCATCTTTGGCGGTTGAATCCATAACCAGATCGGGTCTCAAGTGGTCAGGCAAGTCGAGCGCAAGCTGGCGACCTTCGTCACGGTTATCCATTGCTATCGTCCTGTATCCAAGTGCTTTGGAAAACTGTACTCCAAGCTGTCCAAGACCTCCGATGCCTACCACAGCTACAGCATCGCCTGGCTGGACCTGGGGACTAAGCTTTCGCAATGCGCCCCATACTGTCGCCTTTTGATGATGTTAGCAATGGCATTGCTTGCGATTTAGACACCAGACCAACTTACTCCAGCACACATCAAAGGTGCTCCCTGTTCGAAAGAAACTCCGTTTGGGAGATGCACGGTGGTTTCTGGGTCGGCCAGCATGTATTCAGCGAATGCGCCATCATGCCTGAAGCCAGCCACAATTCGTCTTTGACAGAAGCGCGGATCAGGACGTTTGGATCTCCGCGAGTGCTGGCGACATCCTGCGCATTGCCCACATGCATTCTTGTAGTTCAAAACACCCACGCGATCTCCAACTTTCCAAGAACCTTGTACGTTCGTGCCAACCTGTACGATTTTGCCAGCAGGCTCATGCGAAGGAATCATTGGCAGTTCTGCCGGGAATTGCCCATTCCATACTTGCAGGTCAGAGTGACAAAAGCCAGCTGCGTACACCTCAATGAGGAGGTCATGGTCGCCACACTGAGGTATAGCTCGCTCACATAGCTGATATGGTTTCTCATACTAAATGCCTATGTTAGATGGGCTTCCGAGAGTTCGTGTGACGTCAGCCTACCTCTACGATCTGTGCTGCGCGCATCTTATCCGGCATATTCAGAATGAACCATGAACGTACTCAAATGACTGTGCTGCACCACTGCGTTCAATACCGTGGTCGTTGTCATCATAGCTTCATGCGATTGCTTGTCCCCACGTGTAGGACCAATTCGGATGAGTTGGAGAGGAGAGTTGGAGTCGTTGGGGTCGACGATAAGACGGGACTGATAAGCGAGCGCGCCGTTATGGAGGCAGGGGGCCAGCTGCCACATCCAATGACGAAATGCACAAGCCGCCGCCGGCTCCAGCACCATTCTATCTGCTAATTACCCCGCGATGGTTTTCAGGGTCGGCATCATGGCATTAAGAGGAAGTAATGCCGGATCAACCATGTGGTCTTGTTTCTCCCACACAGATCCGGCTGACAGCTTCTCCCATTGACCTCGGGAACCGATTCAGCACCTTACTTGACAGATCACCACCATCTTTCCTCACAACACAGCTAACATGGGCAAGAAGCGCGTTCTCATTTCGTATGGTGTTGACGTAGATGCGGTATGTGGGTGGCTTGGATCGTATGGCGGAGAAGACAGTACCAGCGACATTTCGCGCGGTCTGTTTGCTGGCACAGTTGGCACGCAGCGCCTCTTGAAGCTGTTCAAGAAGTACGACATGAAGACCACATGGTTCATTCCAGGTCATAGTCTGGAGACTTTCCCAGAAGACATGGCTGCAGTACGCGACGCTGGGCATGAGATTGGTCTTCACGGTTACAGTCACGAAAACCCCGTCGATATGAGTATGGAACAACAACGGGACGTGCTTGACAAGACATATCGCATGTTGACCGAGTTCGCTGGCAAACCTCCAAGGGGAAGCGTTGCGCCCTGGTAGGTCTCAACGGATTGATTGCTTTCATCCGCCATGCTGACTTTCTTCTTAGGTGGGAGACGAGTCGCGAAGGTGCAGAACTGCTTCTTTCTTATGGTATCGAATACGACCACAGCATGAGCCATCACGACTGCCAACCTTACTATCTCAGAACTGGAGACTCTTGGACCAAGATTGACTACGAGAAGAAAGCAAAAGATTGGATGAAGCCGCTCGTTGCAGGCCAACAGACTGGCTTGGTTGAGATTCCAGCAAACTGGTATCTTGATGTATGTACGATCGGCAGTACAACGTAAACCACACGCTAATAGACGACACTAGGATCTGCCACCTCACATGTTTATTAAATCCTCGCCAAACAGCCATGGCTTTGTCAATGCGCGAGACACTGAAGACTTGTGGAGAGATCACTTCGACTACTTCTACCGCGAATACGATGAGTTCATCTTCGTAAGTCTCAACTAAGGTATACCTATGGTATATTGGCTGATCTAATGCGATCCTCTAGCCTATCACAATCCACCCTGACGTGTCAGGACGACCACATCTACTCTTGATGCACGAAAGGTTGATCGAGCACTTCAAGAAGCATGAAGGTGTTGAGTTCGTGACTATGGAACAGATGGCGGATGAGTTCAAAAAGAAGAACGCACCACCCGAGGGAGCACTCATGCCTGCCGAAGCAGGGCTTAAACTGAAAGAGTAGCTAGATATTCGAATCCATGCCATTAGTAGCTATCTGATGTTACTTCCCTACACAACCGTTGTATAAAGATAGTATTTTGATTGCACTGCAGCTGTACGTCAAAGATTGACTATCAGTCGTCAAAAGAGGACGATGCCACTTATCGGCCATTTCTGTAAGATAGGTAGATCACGGCAATGCACAGCCTAGCTCCGCACGAACTACGTTCTAGAAAGCTAAAATCTCCCGGGAACCGCAATCGCTGATGCAGATGGAAGACTAGTCACTTGCAGGGTGAACACTAAGGATACCGAACCCAACGAACATACTAATCGTACCTCCAAAAACCAGCCAAGACGAATACAAGACCTCCAAACCACTCAGTTCACAATCTCCGCAATCAGTTGGAGGTGCGATGATCCCCGGTGGCAGGTACCAAGAGGCTAGGGTATCATTGGAGACACCCCTGCGCCTGAGTCGCGTAGGTGTTGGGGTCGCCTGCACCGCTCTATCGCCACTATCAACCTCCAAAACAACGGGGCTGTGGATCCTGCCAGCCCACAATGCCCCGGATTCCAAGATACCGCGTGCTGATACCACGCGGGTTATCGACTATCAGTGCACCGTGCAAGGACAAGGCCGTTGCATGGCATACATGTACGCTTGGATATATATACCGTGGCCAAAGTACCGACAGATCAGAGTTCATCGCTCGAGCCTAATAACAGAGTCCGGCATCATTGTCTGCCACCGCCAACATGTCGACTGAGAAGCAAGACGACATCATCGCGCCAGCACCGAGCAATAGCTCCGAAAGCATCAACGGCAAGGTCGACGTCGAGAGCGATGGCGAGATCTTCAAGAGAGGAGAGGGGTATGAGGATTTCCGAACGGTGCACTGGATCCATACGTCAGTCATCTTCCTGAAACGTAAGTAACATGATCCAATCAACTACACCAAAACTGCTCCATACTGACTATCATTGTGTTACAGTCATCTTTGCAACCGGTGTTCTCACCATCCCTAGCGCTATGTACACCCTTGGCGCGTTCCCCGGTGCCATCAACGTGCTCGGATGGCAAGGGCTAAACACCTGGTGCGCACTGGTACAGGGCCAATTCCGTAACAACCACCCAGGCTGTCACTCGATTGCCGACATGGGTCAATTGGTTGGTGGCCGCGTCGTCAAGGAGATCAGCGGTATCCTCTTCCTCGTTGCGTTCATCATTGTCGGCGCCTCCGGTATGGTCGGTGTGTCAACAGCCTTGAACGCATTGAGCGAACACTCGCTCTGCACAAACTACTTCTCCATTATCGCAGCGATCATGATTGGTCTCTGTGCGAGTGTGCGGAAGTTCGAGAAGCTGTCTTGGATCACTTGGGCGGGTTTCTCATCCGTTTTCATCGCTGTTTTCATCGTTGTGTAAGCAATCTCTTCATTTATAGTAGATGACCACGCGGACTGATATGTATGCAGCGTCGGAGTAACAACACTCGACCGACCGGCCGCAGCTCCTCAATCTGGACCCTACGACTTCGGCTACCACGTCATCGGCCACCCAACCTTCGCCGCTGGCATTACAGCTGCCTCGACTATCTTCTGCTCCGGTGCAGGTACATCAGCGTTCCTGCCCGTCATGTCCGAGATGCGCAACCCGCGCGAGTACGCCAAAGCCGTAAACTGGTGCATGGGCCTCGTCACAGCCGCGTACCTCTCCTTCAGTCTCGTCGTGTACAAGTGGTGCGGCAAATGGGTTGCCTCACCCTCCCTTGGTAGCGCCGGACCCATGGTCAAGAAGGTCGCTTATGGAGTCGGACTGATCGGACTTTGTGTCAGTGGAGCGCTATATGTACACGTCAGCGCGAAATACGTCTTCGTCCGTATCCTGAGGAACTCGAAACATCTACAGGCCAACTCGCCAGTACACTGGGGTACTTGGCTTGGCTGCGTTAGCTTCATGACGGTTATCAGTTTCGTGATCGCATCTGGTGTGCCTATTTTCAACTACTTGCTCAGTCTAGCGGGAAGCATTGCATTTGCTCCTTTGGCGCTGGGACTGCCTGGATGGCTCTGGATCTACGATCACCAGGATTACTGGAAAGGCAACTGGTGGCAGAAGATTATGTATGTGCTCCACGTCATCTTGATTGGCATCTCAATCTTCTTGACAATCGGCGGCACTTACGGCGTTATTGTGCAGATCAAGGACGCGTACCGAGATGGGTTGATCGATTCGGCTTTCTCTTGTGCTGACAACAGCAACTCTTCTTAGTCACCTCTTTAGTTTTATGTAAATGTTTGTAGTTTGAACGCAGTATGAGAGATACCCTCGGTCAGTACCGTAATATAGAATGCAGATCACTAGCGAATACTTTTGCATCGATTCCTATCTATTCATCCACCATGGCAGGGCCGTACAAGCGTGATAGGCCGCAGCAACCACCAACCGATTCATGCTCATACAACCGGCTTCTCCTTTGGTATCAGACCAACCATCTCGAGCATCAGAGCTGTAGAGTTGATCAAACCGTAGAAGATCATTGGTATCACCTGTGATAATGTCAGTACATATGATATCTGACTGTAATTCTGGTTCAGAACTTACACCGAAGAACAGGTTTCCTAGAATACCCCTGCGGAGGATTGTCTCTGCCAACTCAGTCTTTGTGATTTCAGGAGCAACGTCGCTCTTGAAGGGGCCAACAAGCCTGTAGAAGGTCACAAAGCTCGCTCCAAAGCAGTAAACCAGGAGCACCTTCAGGCCATGGGCCATGTACAACTCGCGCAACCCAGGGGCACCACCAAAGTCTTTTGCAAGGGTACTCATGTACGCGCTATGATCGACACCATATTTAATGCGCGAGCTTTCTTTAGACAGGAGATGGTAGTGTGGAGGGTCGGTGGGCATGGCCATTTGGTTAGTGATGAGCGCTGTCCACCACATGGCTTGTTGTTCGGCAATAGGAGGAATAGCGCCAACACCGGGCCGTACAAAGCCGATGAAGGATATACTGGTGTCTACAGGCGAGACGATGTTGCGTATGGTAGCGTCGGATGCAGTGGGGTACGATTCATCGAGGAAGTAGAATGACTGCTTGTAGCCAGTGCAGTAGACTACGCAGTTGGGCCGCACCTCCGTGTTCTTCATGCGCCTCCAGTCTTTTCGGTCTGGTCGCTCTTCGAATATCACCCTGCCTGTCTCGTCTATTCGCTGGGGGAATGTGCAAGTGTCGACCCATTTCTTTGACTGCGCATCTTCGGGCGGATCTACGTAGCCATTACCAAGGAAAGCAAGAGGGTGTTTCTCTTGGTATGGCCGGTTCAAGTATGGCATCGCTTTGCTACTCTTGTTTAGGAATACGAAAGCTCTGCCTAGACGATCATGTGGCAGTGCGCCAACGTGCTGACTACATCGGGTTAGCATGTGCTCGGTCGCCATGGTCGGAGAAGAGCTCACTTCATGCCTGCTTGAGTACCAGTCAAGAACCACAATACGCGCTTGATGACAAAGTCCGACACGAACCAACGGAAACGACTCGCAGCTATTGCACGATGCACGTAGGCTGTCTCGAAGAGGTTGGTGATGAGGCCATCAATGGGCAGGCCTCCTTTGAACTGCTTGCCGAAAACTTTGAATCGCGAGAGAGCCTTGGGAAAAGATAGAAAGCCTGTTCTAAAGCACATGGTGACCGAGTTTGCATCGCCCTTCATGGCTTCATAGGCGACATCTGAGTATGTTAGCTTATACTTATCTTTATATCCCTGGCATATAACGTACCCATAGCAGTCTCTCCGCAACCCATGATGAGCACGTCTTTGCCCGCAAGCTGCGCCCGCTTCTTGTATTGAGAAGAGTGGAATGCTTCGCCTTTGACATTCTCGATACCAGGGATAGCGGGAATGTTGGGTTCGACATGTAGTCCAGTGCAGACAGCGACATGGGAGCAGTCGAAAGTGCGCTCCTTCCCGTCACTGTTCTTGTCAACATACCTGACACGGTGCTTCCATTTCTGGTCGACTGATTTAGATATGGGTTCGATTTTGTTGACTCTACAGCCCATCTTCATAAGTGGTTGTAGATCGAACTTGTCCACATAGCCCTGCAAGTAGGCAACATATTGCGGAAGCGAGATGTGATCGGGTGCTGAAAGTGGAAAGCGGTGATCGGAAAAAGTCGTTAGTTGCTTGGATGATACCAGCTCAGCGTTCTCGTAGGCGCGGTAGTGGAAGGTGCCTCCAATGTTGTCTTCGCTGGGGAGGATGTCAGGCCACGTGATAGTTGATCCGATTCAGACCAGGTAGAGTATGCTTACGCTTCGAATAAGACAGCCTCTATCGGCCGCTCAGGTGTCGATGCCTCGAGCAACGTCTTCAGGGTTGTCAATCCACCGGGACTTTGGCTTCGTTAGCATGTGATATTCAGGGTCGGAATGGCGGGCGTACCCAGCCCCGATGACGGCGACTCGCATGGCGGGGAGTTTGTCGGTCCCTGACATCTTCACATTCGGCAGACTCTTAGGATATCTTTGACGGTCACACAGAGCGTTGTGTTACAGAGCGTTGAGGTGCACTTGTCGCGTGGCTAACGCTGCAAGGGACGCGGTGGTCACGCTTGGGTGGCCAATCATCACGTTCCAATTCGACCATGACATCAAGACAGGATGCGCGACCCCACGGCATGCATTTGTACCTCAATGCACTTTGTTCTATTCGAGCTTAGTCGCCGCGGCCATGGGGTTGCCCGTTGTCGATTAACGTCCGTAACGATGGGTAGACGGACGATGCCTGTTCTGAGACTGCAGCGCTGCAGCCGAGGCCAAACGTCGATTTCACGTCATATTTTGTTAGACAACAACACGACAGCTCTCTACAGCTGACGCCGACCACCGTCCCATCATGGAGCACGCGCGCGAGAGAGTCGCAATAATAGGGTCGGGCCTTGCTGGGCTTGTTAGCGCGAACCTGTTGTTCCACGACGTCCGCCAAAGATATGCCGTCAGGGTCTTCGAGTCGGTAGGGACGCCTGACGCCCACGCCCATGCCCACTCTCTCTGGGGCCTCCACTGACAAAAGTAATTCTAGGGAAAAACCCTCTCCCTCGACGCCGCCTCCATCTCCCTCCCCGATGCTGCCGCCAAGGATGCTTCGACCCGCGTGGACCTGCCCATGCGCGCCTTTGCGGGCGGGTACTACAACAACCTCAAGGCCCTGTACGACTACCTGCGCATATCCTACCACTCGCAGCCGTTCCTCTTCGAATTCGCAGTGAGCCACGATGCCAAATCCGAGGCCATTGCGCCTGGTCGCCGCGACAGGTCGTACTTCACACACGCATCCAACCTCCACCAGCTTGCGCCTCGGTCCAGCGGAGTTGGCATTGTCGTGTACCTGATGCAATGCCTATACCTAGCCTTCTCGTACACGTGGTTTACCTTTTGCTGCGTCTTTGTCGGGCCGAGACAAGCCGAGACGCTGCAGCAGTACCTGGACCGCACGTATTGCCCGCGCTACTTCACCACCTACTACTTGCTCCCACTCTTATCGAGCGTGTCTACCTGTCCTCACGATTCGCTACTCGCCTTCCCCGCCAGCGACATCATCGGATACAAGCGGAGGACTCATGGCGCGCCGCACTATACCGTATCAGATGGTGTGGGAGGGGTACAGGAACGCCTAGTCAAAGGTATCGACGTTACCCTCAATGCCACTGTCACGGCAGTGGAGCCTTTCGAAAAGGGTGTTCGGGTATCGTGGTGCGGTGCATCGGACGCGGAGACGACAACCGAGTACTTCGACAAAGTGATATTGGCTGTTGCTCCAGACGTCGTGGGTCGCATTTTCAGACCCCTCCAACACCATATGCAGCGCATACCAACCGCCGTTGTGGAGAGCGTCGTCCATACAGACTGGGCAGTGCTGCACGGGAGCGACCTCAACAAGAACGACAGGAAAGGCGCCCAGCTCATCCATCTGAACACATCTACTGCCGATACACCCGTGACCGAGTCGCATCATCTCCAGCCCTGTGGTGTCGTGGTGACAACCTGCCCTTTCACACCTCTCGAGCAGCAACACGTAGCTCAACGGAGCAAGTTCACGCGCGTTCTCCGCAGCCCGGAAAGCCAGCGCATCGTCAATGCCATCTTCGGCAACGGTTCGAATCTCAGTGCGGATGACAAATCAGTGCCGCGTTGGAGGAACGGCGAGGATAACGTATGGCTGGTAGGCGGATGGTGTTGGGATGGTATGGTCCTCCTAGAGGGTTGTGTTATATCAGCCATGCGGGTTGCCGATGCGCTCGATGTCAAGGTGCCGTGGAGGCATCAGTGAACAATGAAAAGGCTTGAGTTTCTAGCTTGTGCCTTACTGTCAAAGAGCCCCCAGGTTGAGCCCGGTGCTCCTGCTGGATACAACAAGCTTTTCCGTAGCACGGTAGATGGTCCGATAGAGTAGATACCCAGGCATGTTGACATGTCCATTTCCATTACAGAACAAATTCATAGACTTGAAAATGAGTTCGAAGCTTTCCGACATTAAAGTGCGCAGTGTGCAGGCTTCTTAACTTGCTGACACATTGTCAGCTGTATTTGCACCTCGTCATACATGTTCGCTTGAACCGGTTAGCGTCACTGCCCGTTGAAGCTTCCCGAGATCTCACCCGCTTGTCAAGTCTTTATCCACCCAATCACCTCAACACGCCAAACAGCAATGTGGGATAGACTATTCTTTGGCTACACTGTCTTTACCGGCTTCGCGCTATCCGGCGTCATACAAGCCTACATCCGCACCTTGGGTTCGCACGAAAGCACTTCGTCAGGCAAACTGGGCATGGACGGCCAAAGATCCATGCAAATATTTGGAGTATGGCTGGCCGCTGCACTCTGCTGGATGATGAAACGTACACAGAGGAATGAAAAAGAAAAAGCATCGATCTATGGTTTGCAACATGGGCGACTGCACCTGCAAGTCCCTACCGCCATGTGGATGAATATGGGCTATTGGAAAAGCCCTCCTGCTTCCAAAACATTGAGCGAAGCATGTCGCGACCTTTTGAAAGCTGTACTTGCCGAGGCTGGGTTCTCCAACGACGAAGGACAACCGCAACGAAGAAGATTCCTGCTCGACCTGGGCTTCGGATGCGGAGATCAGACCATCTATCTCATGAGCAAAGAACCTATACGAGCGTGCGATAAAGACTGGTGGGACGAACGAGAGCGATGCGCTACATTTGACCATTATATTGGGATCACAAAAGACGAATCGCAGGCGCGATTTGCGTCGGAGCGAGTTGAAGAGTTCAAGCATAACAAAGGCTCCACGATATCGCTCTTCTGCGCCGATGCGTCAAAACCCACATCATGGAACGGAGGATTACAAAACTCAATACGACTGGCAAGAGCGAGTTCAGATGAGCGGTGGGTGTTAGCATTGGACACAGCGTACCATTTCTCGCCATCACGTTGGCCTATCATCGAACACGCTTACTCGGAACTCGAAGCCAACTACATGGGCTTCGATCTGTGCCTTTCTCCAACCGCAACATGGACCCAGAAGACTATGCTTCGTCTTCTCACTGCACTCATGGGCGCTCCTTGGGCAAACTTTAGCACACCGCAGGAGTACCGCTCGAAGCTCGAGCACGTGGGATACAAGTCTGAGGCCATAACTATCACGGATATATCGGAGCATGTCTTCGCGCCACTAGCACTATTTCTCACAGAGCAAGACAGTAGACTCAAAATGGTAGGCCTCGGCATAGGACGCTTCGGTGTTGCGAAGACCATGTTTAGCTGGTGGGGAAGGACCGGAGTCATGCGTGGCGTTATTGTGGTTGCGAAGAAATGAATCGCGTGCCGAAAACACCACACTCTAACCTCGCCTGGCCTGACGACCGATGGGATGCCTCGTAATTTGCTCTGTAAGGCTGAACATGCAGAAACAGCAAATACGCCCCGAGACTCGCAAGCGGCTGACCTGGAGATTGTACCTAGGTACGCCTAACTACAACGTGCTAAGTAACGCCACAATCTGGTGCAGACAAGTCTAAGAAAATTCCTTTTCACATGTCGTCGATATTTTCTGTGTACTGACACCAAGTTTGGTGTTTAAAGTATGCCTCCCAAACCCCGGTGCGACGACTGAAGATCAGGTCCTCCCGTGCCGCTACCCGGTACGGCCCCCAGCATCAATACCAAATTTGTATCGATACGGGAGCCAAGGCTTGGCACTCACGACAAACGTTGCTGTGCCACAGGCATTTCTGTAGTCTAATAAACCTGTCGCATTACCTGTACAGCCCAGAATGTAAGAATCGTCGGATTCTTCATTATCGAACCTACCTCAGCAAACATGGAAGAAAGAGAACTGCACGAAATGCAAAGAGTGAGGCAAGAGACAGCCCACGTGAACAGGGTCGCTCCAAAGGTCCCAGAAGCCACTCATGAGCCGACGTTTTTGTCAAGAGCGTCCTCCAGGACTGTTCGCGAACCAGTGGTCAGACATCTACACACATCGCTGTGGCCGCTGGTAGTCTTCATATTCTACGCCGCGCTCTCCGCTTTCACATGGGCCGTTTTTTGTATTGCGAGCAAGCGGCCGATTGGAAGCAAGCAGGATTATGGGAACCAAGATGGCTACAGAAAGGAGCTGGATGCTATCTTGACTAAACATGAGAACGCCATCAGGGCAGCGCAGATCATACAGGTAGTCGTCGCACTAATCACTGTTCCCATCACATCGGCAATTTGTTCAATGGCTCTGGCTTCTTTCATCCAAACGGGCGGCGCAAGAACGAAATTGAACCTTCGCCAGACCATGGCGCTCGCAGACCAAGGCTGGATCAGTCCACGCATATGGACCATGTATTCCAAAGTAGGAAGTCTACCATTATACATTGCCTTTGGGTTGACGTTGGTCGGTATGTGTTGCGTGAATATCAGTAGGAAGCCAGTGCTGACCTAAACTTAGGTGTGATCTTCCAGATCCTTCAAGGAATCTTTGTTCGGATCACCCCCGCACAGATGGCGTCTGAGGAAACCAGATATAATAACCACTATGTCCCTGATCTGCCTGCTTTAATCAGCAGTGGTGGTAGATACCCCACGCCTAGGGTCATTCAACTCCGTAGCATCCTGGAATCGATTACGGAGAACCATTATGAACCCTTCCTCTGGGTCAAGCCGGAGGGTGATGGCATGTGTCGAAATCCAACTCAGTGCCGTTATCCCGATTATCGGAGAGATTTCCAGATAATCGCCGATTCCGATTACCCAGACCTTTGGTTCACACCCTTACCCTCGGACTACAACACCGGTGTCTACAAGGAGCTTCAGTATGTGCCGCGCATCAACACAACGGTTACATATACGAACATGACTGCTGCCGAATGGCCAAGCGAGTGTGTTCGTGACAAAGAAGGTGTATTCTTTGCAGAGTATCACTCACATCGTCCTAGGGCCTACGATATCGATCTAACGGCTTGCATGCCTACAAATATTAGCGACACACCCTGGCAAGCTACACACAATCGGCAGGATATCACAGAAGAGCTCTATCTTAACGTAACAGCACGATACGAAGAAAGCCCCCTCTACTACAAAATAACTGCCAAAACATCATTAGGTTACTTCGAGCTTCCGTCTGCCAAGAATGGGAATCGCGCCGGGCCCTTGCTCGACAATTGTTCCCTGCCACGCATCGACGACTGGGGCTCGAGAGACAGTAGTTGGGACAAAGGTCTGGCAGTTCGGGATACCAACGGCAGCTATGCTGGAAACGTCACACAGAGCATAGGAAACCATATCGGTCCTCTGACTACGCTTGGACTAGCCCTCTTTGGTGAAGGCTCTTACATCGAGAAACGCGTTTCGAACCCATCCGCTTTCGTAATCAATCGAACCAAGGTGTACGATGCCGAATACGATGCATGGTATACGCCCTGGAGCTCAAATTGCGACTCATCTATGCCTCTTTCCTTTGCTTTTACAAGCACGAGGGAATGTGATCAAGACTTTGACCACAAGGATGAAGACTACATTATCGGAGAAGTGAATAGTTTTGTAAACTGGTTTTCGCAAGAGACCACTGCAAGAGAAGCGTTCACTGTGGGCGCTTACCTCGCTAACAAGGACTGGCTGGATCAAGCCAGAGGGTACACTCTGTCTTACGATGCAAGGCGGGCAGTGGTTGCCGACCAAGGCGTCACAATCAGCAAGACCAAGATAACGATTGTGGAAATCATCATTGGCTCCATCTTTCTCGGTCTTCATCTCCTCGGGCTACTAGTGCTCGCCATCTATGCAGTTTACGGAAAGCCGTTTGTGCCATGGCTGGGTGGGGAGGTAATGATCAAGGCCGGCACGGTTCATGCGGATATCTTGAGCGCTGCTGAGGGACATCGACAATGGAAGCAGACCATGGCTGCTTGCCCGGGATTCGTTGGGGATGAAAGACCAACGGATAGTGTAGGCAGAATCGCATTCGGAGCCGTTGCAGGCTTGAGTCGATTACGCGACCGGAAGTTTGAGACTCTGTAGACCCTGTATATAGTGGTTATCAATCTTTGTTATCTTTGCTGATGTGGAAATTTGCCTATGTTGATGTAATGATGAGCAGCATAGAACTGTTGCCTAAGTTATAGTGAATATATCCATCTTCTCACGGGGCAGCTAGTGAGCATAAACCTCCGGGGTAGAATGTCGCAGTGGATCTTGGACCCTTGGTTGATGTTTTGATGGACCCTGGAGTGATTATCTAGCATCTGATATGCTCGCTTATCTCTATAAAGCTCCACTGAGGCACAGTATCGTGATACTCTTGGTACGTACCGCGGACTTCTGCTTACAATAACGTAAAGGATATAAGATGCATTGACCTGCTCGTGTCGACTCACAGTATGGTTCAGATGCCGCGCCCGAGATCATCGCCTGTGCTTTCCTCGCTCGTTCGACATAAAAGCTGTCCTCTCTGTCCCTTCCCTTCTCTTTTCTTTCATCAGCAAAAATCATAACTCTAAAGGCCTAGGATTCGAAGATCATCTCATCATACCATCCCAACTATCTTCAGACAACACTACAACCACTACTACTACGCCTACCCAAGACATCTTACCATATCATCATCGTCATCATCACCATCAACATGCCTTCCACCAAACCCGTCTACGCCGACAAGGCTACCTTCGAGAAGTCCGGCTTGGCTCCCTACCTCACAACCTCCACCAAAGCAGATTGCTGCAGCATCTGCCTGAAAGACCTCGCTTGCGAGGCATCAGAGACTGCCCATAAGCCTCTGACCAAAGCTGAACGAAAACTGCTCGACGATGAAGTCGACACATACCAAGACATCTCCGACATCCACCGCCACCACAATCAAGAGGAACAAGTCGGAGCAAGGCTAAATGCCTGCGGTCACGTTTTCGGCAAGACATGCATCGACACATGGCTGAAGGACAGCAACTCCTGCCCAATGTGCAGGATCGAACTCTTCCCCAAAAGCGTACGCCAACGTTGCCAGCCAGACTTCTCTGGTGGCAGAATAGTAGGATGGTTTTAGGGTTGGGATTTTGGGATTGTGCGAGAACCTCCTCGCTACGCTTTGGGGTTTATGTACACTGGTTGACGAGTCTGTGAGGACCTCCTGGGTGGATTATTGGGTTTGTGGTTTTCTCTTTTAACGGTAACGAGGGTCTCTACGCATGGTTTTCACGTAACGTGGTATAGGTGGTTTGGAATGCATCACTTCTCATTCGCTCGCTTGTTTCCCTGAGTGCTCTATTCCAAGGTTCGCTGTGACTGTACCAGATAAGCCATGCACGTGATGTCCATTACTCACTCCTACTCCGCACTGCGCTGTTGTGATAGGCGTCTGCATTGCCCAATGTTTATCCTATGCCGATATTCAATATCAAAAGTGACGTCAATAGGAAAGTTTAGGCCGAAACAATAAGGCAGCAAATGGCCGGGAGAAATCCTAGATATGGTTTTATATGGTCTGATTCCAGAACGTCATTTTGGAAACTCTCCCGTCGCACGCGTGTGCATACGGTATAACGTCGGAGATTTATTCGGAGCACGATCGGGCCGCCACAAAATCAAAGGAAAACGTCCTGGAGGCTTTTTTCTGGCGTTGGGCGAGACCGTGGCACTGTTGAGGTTTGAGAACTAATTAACTTGCTCGGATGAACGCTGTTCCTTTGGGCTGCGGGAGTGCACGATCTGGGAAGTAAACTTACAAACTTGTCGCTAGGTGAAGTCCGTGTTCTGGGTCACGATAGAAGCGCCACCTCGCTTGCACAGAATCCTAGTCCTGGCGGCCACGCGACGAAGAACGGCCGACTCGGCGGCGGCTTGTTTCAGTTCGCGGTATTCAGCCTGGGGCTGCGTGATCGATAGGGGATGCAAACCATCGCCCCCGGGGGTGTTCAGCTTCCACGCTTCGGCAACCCCGCATGTGATGATGCAGACATATGCGCGGATCGCCCATAGCGTCCTCTTACTTCTGATCAACCGATCGCCTCGACGACAGTGAAACTACTATGGGAAACCTACCAGAACATCGCAGAGACATACCAGCTTCCTATATTACTTTTTGCTTGTCATAGTACATTTTAGCCGTATCGGTTTCCGGACGAGCATGCCCCCCATGGAAGGGTGCGTGTTGGTGTGCTGCCCTAAGGCGACTCGATTGGATCAGAAGTAAATGGTTAGCAAGGATTAATGCAGGTCGGCCGTGTTCCGCGTCGGACCGCCTGATGTGCAACAAATCAGCGACGTGGAGCACGGCCCCCGCTACGCTCCCTAACTAACTTTTGACTCCCGAAAAGCCGTAAGCAGACATGTCGCATGGGCCGCACGGCTGAGGCACCCTAGGTATCCCGCGAGATAGGCGTTGACGACGGTGGACTCAACGAGCATAGTGCATGACAGCTCCGTGCTCTGGACCGGGCAACTGGGAGGATCGCCTCTTTGGCTTTATCTACATACGTTCGCTCCGCTCGGGGCTTTTCTAATCCTGGTTCCAGTATCGCCCCTCTCTCGACGACTTTGACTTTGACGTGCGCCCGGTATGCGGTGAAGTGAAGAAGAGGTGGATAATATTTACCATGGCGGGGAAGAACTCAGATCGTTTCGATATCGTGAATGGCAAGCAACTTGCGTTGCTGATCGCGCCTACCATATGCTTTGTGGTTGCGGCGGCGGTGGTAGCAGCGAGATGGTACACAAGGAGTGTTCGAAGGGTCAATACCTTGGGCGAAGATGCGTTGATGCTGGCTGCTCTGGTAGGACTGCAGGATCTCGGTTGCGGATCGATGCTGACATCTCGCAGGCTATGAGCTTCGTCGTAGTTGCTTTAGTCTACGTGCTAGTATTCCTGGGTGGAGAAGGCTTGACGAGCGATCAGATCAAGGCGGATCCGACTAAGAACTTTGACGTTGTGGAGCGATTCTGGCTGCGGGTATGTTTGGCCTGACGTCCATCAGAGTTTTGCTAACAGGCATTGAAGATGCAGTTCGCACTTGACATCTGCTGGGCTACATCGATTGCAACCGTGCAGTTGGGCTTCGCGAAATCCTACCTACGGCTATACGAGAAGAGAGTGTTTGCCCGCATAGCCTGTTATGTGTCTATAGCGCTCATCGCGATCTGGTATATTTGGTCGCTCGCGGGTTGGATCAGCATGTGCCATCCCCCTGGAGAGTGTAAGCTGCAGAGCAAGAAGTCGTGCATCATCATCGGCTCGTTGCACGTCTTCTTCAACAGTGTCATCCTCTTTGCTCCATTGCCTGCCGTAGCAGCAGCAGACCTGTCGGGGAAGAAGAAGCTGTGGGTGATGGTTTTATTTCTCCTCGGATGCTTGTAAGTAAAACCTACTCTTCGATCCGAGCAGCCCTTACTGACACCGCGCAGCTGCACCATTCTGGCTGTCCTTCGCATCGACTGTGCGATTGATGTTTTCGGCAACGTCGACGAAGACCCGATTGGTGCATCGTGGTGGCGCGTCTGTTTCTCCCCAATTGAAGTCGCCGTCGGCATTGTCTGCTGCTGCGTACCTAATGTCAGGTCACTACCAACGTGGCGCCGAACTCCCCCACTCGCCACCGACGAGAGTATTGGTCTCCGGCGGATGAAGTTCCGGACAGCAAGCAACGGCTCGTCAACATCAAACCTCAACGCACCACCTTCGCAATGGATGCCGCAGAGCGCAAAACCACAGGCGGCTACTTTCGTCACGTTGAGCAGCGAATCGGATCCTGCCGAGAGGTTGAGTTCATTGGGAGCGAATGAGATTAAAGTAACAAAGGAGTACAATCTCGATCGATTATAATTGTGTAATTAGGGCAAAGAATCGACTCAGCTGTAACCCAGAGCGATACCGAGGTTCGCGACGTTGATGCACGAAGCAGGCGCCGTAGCACATGAGCCCTCAGATAACGAAAGACGCCACTGCAAGGCTTGGGATAGAAGAGTGTCACGGTGGAGGTACACCGTCGGTTGTTATGGACGTCCAAGCAGAGTTACGCTCGAGCGGGAAGACGTGCTTGTGACGTCACTGTCACCCTCGGAACGTGATCCTTCGCTCACCTGAGCACACACCTTCAGTTGCAGATACCAGCCTCATCCGCATTCCCGACACGCACACCATGACCCCTAAACCAAACCACCGCCTCGGTACACTGCTGCGCTATACCTATCAAGTAAATATGGTTTTCTTTGCCGGGTTCGCGACGTGGTATCTGTTGAAAGGTTTGGATCAGAAAGAGTTATCAGGATATGCGAGTACTACGAAGAAACGCGACCGTTCGCTCACGAAGCAGTGAGCATTCCGGTGGAAGTGACACGAAGGCTATCGATGCCGCATGGCAAGACAGTGTGGATCGTGGCGAGAGCGACATGTATAATGAAGCTGGAGCTTCGGCAGGCTTGCGAGAGCTTGAGGGGCACACGAAGAGTTGGACTGCGCAGGGCGTATTAGAAAGGAGTTCGCAAGAACAGACGATTTGCAGGTGTCATGGTGAGCACACGCATTATGGGACAGCTAGCAACTATTAGCGTAGCTGATACGAGCGTAGAGAAACATACGCACATGTACGATATAGATAGATATGAAATAAGCAAGTCACATTGCTACGCTATCAGAGCTACCTGGTCTGATTTGTGTTTCTTCAAGTTAACATGACAGCCACGTACAGCTGCTAGACTATGCGACAACCCATGTGTCAAATTATCCAACTCTTAGCATGACCAATATCACCGGTAGCGGACCAGTGCCCCTTGCAAGAACCATGGCCGTTGTAAAACACATGGATGAGCACACGAGAACGGACGCATTTTTGCGCATGTACTCGTCGCAATCAAAACGCAGTCTTTGAGGGCGTTGTTTAGGTGTGCCTTCTCAACGTTGGAAAATGAGGGCATTTGCGCGACTTTGCTTGGCGCTTCTTCTTACTGAAAAGCGGGCTTATGCAGAGGGCATGCAAGTAACCCACCACTAGGCTAGTGGACCCCCTCCACATTACCGTGAGTCTGCCATTCATAGGCGGGAAGAATAGTCGCGACCTGAAGTGATTCCATTCCGGACCTTGGCACAGACGCAACGCAGATGAGTACCCGAGACAACTACAGGTGTGTTGACATTGCTCTAGCGCCCATCCTCCTTGTCGGTTCTCATCACTTGAACGATATAAAGATCCTCACTGCACACCTCCATAGTTTTCAGTAGTAGTAGGATGAATTTGTTGTCCGTTCGCCGTACCGCTCATCATGCACCGCAACCCCTACCTGATCTTTCTCGGCGCCACATTGTTCGATCTGATCCTAGCTATCGTAATTCTCTCGCTCTTCGCAACCGTATACCCCGACCGCTTTCGAACCGTGCTTTGGCAAGAAGGTGGCACTAAAGGCTGGAACTCCGACCCTCATCAACGTGTCTATGACTATGCAAATTATCGCAAGTCACCGCCGATACCCTTGATATGGGATGAAAGGTCTGTTCGAATGTTCTGCATACGATAGCAATGCAGGACTCTGATACCTCAGGCAGCTGTACTTTATGCAACCTATGCATCGCAATCGTAACCCTGTTCATCTGGCTCGTTCGCTTCTCAATCATGTCTTTCAGCAAGCAGGCTCTCGACTTCTACGCTACAATCACGGTAAATGCATTATATGACATCTTGCTTGCAGGACTGTGGATATACAGTGCATGTCTCCAGGACTTGGGCGACTTCTCAGATCCAAAACACATTAGTCTACGGCCCTGGTATTTGGAGCGCGGGTGTTCGGAGGTATCACCGTCAACTCGATATGGGTGCGAGCTCATGAGATGTTCGTACGGAATATCTGTATTTGCTGCGTAAGTCAACCATGCTATCTTTCAAAACGCGCAAGAGCTTTCCCGCAACTGTTTCGCTGACACTGTAGCTTCTCTAGCATCTGGTTCTGTCTTCGGTTCTCATTAACCTGCTTTTACCGTGTATATCTACTTGGCCGAAAGCACGAGCTTGAAGATAGGAAGAGCAGCTACAGTGACCTCTTGTAATGTACACAATCTCAATCGCATCCTGTGGTTTGACGATATTTGATCTGCTAAGCCGATGATACCTTACGACACCGCATCACTATTCAACCAAGGGAAGCTCGATATCACTGCCGATGGTGTCGTTGAGGCAGTGTCAGGAATGCAGTCGAGAGTGCATGTTGCTAATAGCAACCTCGGTGTTATGTTCTTGA